TTTTCTAAAATAATAATAATAATAATAATTTTTTTTTAGTTATTATCAATTTGTAGTAGGATTTAAAAAAATTTTTTTAATCGATAATAAATGCACATAAAAAAAAAAAAAAATGTTTGCAACGTCATTTTTCTCTTCTCTTCTGCTTTTTTTTATCTTGTGTGCCTTATCTATTTATTTTTTTTCTCTTATATTTCTAATTATGGAGAAGAAGAACGAAGCTATCACGAAAATTACACCAAACATGTCGGTTAAATAATAATAATAATGATAATAATACTTGTATTTTAAAATAATTTTTTTTTCCACTGCGAAATTATTTTAACAAATTAAATCGAGTGAATTTTTTTTTTTTACAAATAATAATAATAATAAATTCATTCACTACATTTCAATAAAGACCTAAGTAGCTAATTACAACCTATGTTAATAATAATAATGATAATAAAAGTTTTGTTTTTATTTCAATAGAATTCTTGTGTTGTTTTATACATGCGTCATCATCTTCTTCTTCTTCTTTTTTATTTAATAAAATAATTTATTGATTTTTTTGACATGCGAAAATGATATAAAAAATTATCAATAAAATAAGTAATAATAATTACGGTAATAAAAAAAAAAAATTTATTTATTTTTAAATTATTATTAAAATTCAATACACGCAATTAAATCAATTTAAATTTTTTTTTTCCCTATCCATCATTTTTTTTTTATAATTCTTATATCACAACTTTCTATTTTAATTTTTTTTTTAAAATTGTAAACGTCTTCTGCTACGTAAATAAAAAATGTTTTTTTTTTTTTTTTTTTAAATCGATCATGATTTTGTTATATTAATGATAATGATAATGTCGATGTCGTCCAAACCTTTCTAGAATTTATTATTATTATTTTTTTATCCATTTGAAAGTAAATAAATTTGTTGTCTAATACAAAATTTCGTGTCAAATAATAATAATAATAATAATAATAATGACAATAAATTAAAGTTTTTTTAATATATATTACAGTATTTGTTTAAAAACTTCATTTTCATTATTATTATTATTATTTAGTTAATTACGTTTTGTAATTACATAAAATTATTATATACGTTTCTTTAGATTATATTAAATTATTTTTACAATTCGAATAGAAAAAAATTTTCTCGAAAATAATTTTTACTTTCTTTTCCTTTTTTTTTTTTTTTTCACAAAACCGTGAATGAATTGTAATAAGAAAAAAAAATTTCAGTCATTCTGCGGTCAATATTATTATGTTTAAAAGAAAGTACAAAAAAATTTTTTTTTTTTTATGGTTTCAGGCACAACCATGTTTTTTTTTTGTAACGGTTAAAAAAAAAAAAAATTTTCTTATGATAAAAGGTGTAATAATTTAAAATACGAAAAATAAATCAAATTTTTACTCTCTGAAAATTTGAAAATTCTTTGAGAAAATTACAATTCAAACAATAATAATAATTATATAACGATGGGGGGTAAGGGGGAGGGGA